AGAGAGAGATGAGAGAGAGAGATATGTATATATATATATGCATGTATGTACGTATATATATATATATATATCTATAATATGATCCGGGCGCAGCCGGTTTCCCGGAGGCTGGAACCGAGAACCGGGATCACATATACATGCATGGTGGTCGTATCGTTCATCGGCCTTCTTTGGCGTGCATGTGGGATGGTTGTGAAGAGTTGGGTACGTTTGATCATATCTTTTGGACCTGTTCTTAGACCGGATGTTCGTTCCTTCCTCCTCCGCGTCCTGCTGTGGCCTTATCTGCCAGGTGGGGTTGATTACGGTGAGCTTCACCGCTGGATGGAGGCTGTCCAGACTCGTCTGTGGGCTCTCTTTCACCAGTAGTTGGGTTGTTGGGTCTCCGCTAGCTGCTGCTGCCTTCCCGCCTTGGGTTTTGGGTTTTTGTTGTTGTCCGACTTATTGGTCACCGGCATTGTAGTTGTCCGTCCTTTTTGGTCGTAAGCTATGTCACTGAGAGCTTCATGAAGTTCTTTGCCTGTGCTTTGCTCGTTTGGGGATATGTAAACCTCAAATCTATATACATGCATGTTCAAGCTGTGCTGTATCGTCACAGCGCGCAAGCGTGCGAGGTAGACGGGAGCCGGTGCACTGGACGCAGATACCTCACATGCACAAGGCAAACTTGCCGACTCAAAAGCGGAGAAAGCCGCATGGCTTTCGTGAAAGCTGAGATCCAACGGTGTTCACCACGCTGCTGCGTCATGTAGGCTGTTCTCCCCTGCTCGGAGTCCTGAGCTAGTAATCGCAATAGAAGTAGTAATGGTAGAAGTCATAACAATGATACAAGCAGTACACACTACCTGACACACGTTTCTTGTGTCTCACGTCCTCGTGCCCTACCCTCTTCGAGAAGACCTGACCAGAAACAACCATGCAACAGTCTGTGCCAGGGACCTCAGTTGGCAAGCACAGTGCAGGCAGCGCTGCAACTTCATTTTGTGGCCACACTGCTTGCCGTATGCTATGCCAACCTCTCAGCGTGGCAACGCATTCTAAACACGGATACAGCCGCAAGCCTTGCATTTGTTTGTGTTTAGCGCGTATTCGAGGGATGTTTTAATAACTGTTCTCAAAGCAACATGCTGCATCACGAATAAACTCAGCCAACTATCTTGGCGATGCCTAAATCGTGTCTCCCGCTATGGCTCGTAACTTGCAATGCGTCCCCGAGAGCCCGCAAGCTTGCAGCAGCTATGGCTTTGCAATGCAAAGCTCCTTCCATGCTTGATCACCTTTGGTGAGCATGATATCTGGTAGTTTCCCTGAATAAGGGGACCCCAACATATACCCCCAATATACTATAATCCTTATTATGGGGACCCTAAAATGGTACCCCTAATTTTGGGAAACCCCCATCTAATGGATCATTAGCAGCCTGCCGTCTTGGCAAGCACTTGCCAGGGGATGTGATGCCACGAAACCCCCTGCTCTTGCAACCTCAGCTATTCGATGCGCTAGATGGGCACAGTTCCTCTTATGCCACTACAGGATGCGATGCCATAATATAGTTTTTCCTATTTTACTATAGTAGTTTCCATTTTATTTTCCATTATCCCCATATAACCCCAATATAGTATAGTAGTTTCCATTTTCTTTTCCATTATCCCTTATATAACCCCACGATATACCCTAAAAGCATGAAAGGAGGTGCATGTTCAAGTACCCAAGCAGCAGCCGCAGCCTCCATCTCATACCTGATCTATGAATCCTGCCACAGGCAGGGGCTACTTGCAAGTCGCCCGAGCTTGGGCACGTCCTGTAGTACCACTATTATAAGTGTACGTACTGTCATTACTACTAAATTGAAATTATTAGTAAATTATGAATATTATTGGAGCAAGTGGCCCGGCCTCTTGACAATTTGGATTCCGCAGGCTTCTGGGCAGCGTTCGGACTGCTCTCCTGAAAAATGTTCAGGTACATACCCGGAGCCTCTTGGGTGGTTAGCAGGGAATGAAAACGGGAATACTTGTGTAAAACGTGCCTACTACGCTATTGGGGATTACATCCGGGCTTCGATAGGGATTCTAGGCCCTAAACCCTAAATCGTACAGCAGTCAATTTCCCTTTCCGTTCTTTCATTCACTCTTAACCGCAAGAAACTTTCCTTTAATCAATCTATCATTCCTAAAGCCAAAATGAGATTGTTGTACGACTCTTTTTTCTGCTTCTTGATCCCCTGCTTTGCACCATTTACTGGTGCTTAAGGGAGACTGGGGAAGTGGATCCAGATAATAACCCCCATAAGGTTACATAGGGGGATATATAGGGTTCAATAGGGGTATACAGGGTTTAGGATAGGTCATTAGGATAATGGGAACGAAAATGGAGACTACTATTTAGGTTTCAGGGCTTAGGGATATGAGGGTTTCCCCAAAATTAGGGGGTACCTTGTTGGCGGACCCTATAATAAGGAGTATAATATCTTGGGGTCTATATTGGGGTCCCCTTATTCTGGGAAACTACCATACGCCCCTGTAATAGTAACTATCTTCACTCCCCACCCTGCGCCCTGAATGCTAAATTCTATGATACTTCCTAGGCTCCTTCATCCCTAACCCCTAAACCCTAAACCTTAAACCCTAATCCCTAAACCCTAAACCCTTATCCCTAAGTAAACCCTTATCCCTACACCCTAAACCCTAAACCCTTACTTCATCCACTCTCCCCATATATGCCTTTGTAAAGACCAGTAAAGAGCCGGAGCCCAAGCCTCGGCGACGGGAAGCTCGACCTTGTCCCGTCCTGAGTCTCACTGGTTCTTAGTAGGGTTTAGGGTTTAGGGTTGGGAATAGGGAATAAGGGAATATGGGTTTAGAGTTCAGGGTTTAGGGTTTTATAGTCCCCCTTAAGTAGATAGAATATAGGGTATATGGGGATCTTATTATAACATACCCAAAGCTATATTCTATCTACTTAAGGGGCACTATAATGAGTAGGGAACAAGGGAATATGGGTTTAGGGTTTAGGAAATAAGGGAATATGGGTTTAGGGGTTTAGGGAATAACTGTTTAGGGTTTAGGGAATGAGGGTTTAGGGTTTAAGGGCTTTGGGAATAAGGAAATATAATCCTTATCTAACCTCAGTACAACATATTCCCATATCTGATGCTAACCCCCCAGTAAGGAGTGGAGCTCTCGTCGCTCATTTTTTGATTTCAAGTCTCAAGATCATGAAGCAATAATACGAATAATCAGACTAATAACTCACAATGCTAATGATAATGCCTAACATTAGTAAGAAAATGGGTCATATGCATGATAACAACACTTACCGACTTTTTTTCCTCAGGGGGCGGCGGCTTCAAGGGGAAGGCAATAGTTTACCAGGCAGGAGGAACTGGATCAAGGGGAGAGAGGCGCAAGTCTTCACTAACTGGACTGCTGCTAAGCTAGTTAATCTTACTGGTGGTTAGTAAGGAATACGGGAAAACAGTCCCTATATAACACCCCAAAAACATATTCCCCTATCCCCCACTAACCCAGTATGCAATTTACCACAATAACGCCTAACAGCAAGCCAGCGCAGTTAGGTGCTGACTAGGTTCCTGCTGCATCCTCTCTCAGAGAGGCTGTTGCAGCCTGCAGACGAATGCCGCTTTACCATACCCAGCACGATGTGGGTGGGGGTTCAACAATGAATTGGCCCTTTTCAGGGGTACCTCTAAGCATGACTATAGTAGTATATTGCGGGCTATATTGGGGACCCTCTACTTGTGGAAACCTCAATGCAGCATCATACAGAGCAACTCACATGCACCATGACGCAACCCTAAACCCTGAACCCCTTCTTACTTTTGCAGTATTCCGTGACGAGCCTGCGGCACTGCATCTTGACCTTCCTTTGACGAGAACGTCCTTCGAGACAAGGGCTCCAAACGTTTTTAAGGCTTGGGGTTCGTTTTTGGAGGGTGCAAAATACGAACAAGTAAATCTGCCCATGTGATCTACCATCAACATGTCCTGGAAGCAATTCAGTCCTGCTTGTACTAATGCCATGAACCATCGTTTCATCTATTCTTGCAATTCTAGAATTGATATTATTGTTTCCATCCTTTGTACGTGCAGAACTTTTAGCATTCAGAACCGGCCGTGTCAATAATTACTCGTCAGGCGTCCGCTCGCGCGGCGTTCCAGAGCCCTTGGCTGCAGAATGCTGACGTGTTGTAGCACATCATGTAGAAGAAGTTTTTTTCTATGGTTTTTATCGTTCCAACACTATGATCCTCGTTACAAGGGTGCTACTTATGGGCATCGCCACTTCTTTGGCACCCGGTGCTTATCGGCCTTGTCGGGGCTACGGCCCGCTCTCCTATCTGACAGCCTGTCCTTACAGGGGTAGTATAGGGGTTATATAGGGGGTATATAGGGGTACTATAGGGGTTTTCTAGGGTGTATATAGAGGTACTATAGGGGTTATATAGGGATTATATAGGGGTGTTGCCTCAGCCCTCTGTGACTTTGAAGTTCTTCTATAAATTCTGCAACTCTGACTTCCTCTCACATCCTTGTTGCACTATAGATCACTAACTCCGGCAAGCTTGAAACAATCTGAGGGTGGCTTTCCAGTGCCTTCTACGTAGGCTTCGCTCACCATGTACGGAAGGGAACGGCAAGGCTATTCAATTCGGAGCATAACCAGCAGAGAAGCAACCAAATAATTATCAAACCGGCATCCGCGCAAGCCTCAAACATAATCCGAAAAGCCAAGATAGATCCTGCTGCGGGGGGGGGGGGATCGGTGCCCAGGCAGACCCTGTAAACACCAATCTGAGCTGTCCATTGAGGACCAAGCACCCGCTGTTGTTTGGAAACCCCAATCCCAAAATACCCCTATATAACCCAGTTTCCATTTGATGTTCCGCTGTCTCTTCCGTTTGATTCTTAAGACCCTTCTGTCTGCAGAAACTAGGGCTTGTGGCGTGGTGTTGCTTCCTTCGAGGGTTACTTGCAGGGACCCCGACTACAATTTCCCAACACAACCCTTTCATACTGTTGATTCCAGAAACCCTGCATGACCCTACCTTAGAAATTATGGCATCATATATACGAAGGTAATGCAGGAATTCTAGTATAATCCGTAGCTCTTAGGTCCCTCCGAAAGCCCGGTGCTTCTTGCAGTCCAGTCACATCTGTAAGGCTGGTGTGGCGGTGGAAAGCTTCGCTATTTCGTATTCGCTCGCTTTCTCGCTCGTGAAACTGTGTGTCCTCCGTGGACGAGCCTAAGTCTGAAGTTGTTTCCATTTCCTTTTCCATTATCCCCATATAACCCCAATATACTATAGTAGTTTCCATTTTCTTTTCCATTATCCCCAGCCAGCATGATGAACCACTGCTTTTCAAACAGGCCATTGCAGAAATCATTATTTGTACTTCCACCCCTTGCCTAAACCCTAAACCCTAAACCCTAAAATCCAGATCCCTAACATTCCGCGTTTAAATCTGTCGCCCAGGAGCTGCGGATTAGACGCTTCCTGATGGAGAAGGTCAAGTTAGCGTCCTTGCTTTCCATGAAGCCGGGTGTCCTGGGCACTTTGGTGATGTTCAGGGTTTGGGGTAGGGTCTAGGGATTGGGGTTTAGGGTTTATTTTTTTTCCGGACCTTTTTCCTTTGCAGGAATGCGGTCTAAAGCAAGGCCAGGTCTAGGGTGTAGGGATTAGGGTCTAGGGCTTGGGTTGCTGGAAAACTAGCTATGGCCTATAGCTGTAGTTGCAGAAGATGCTGCAAACCGCCCTCCTAGAGCCTTTGAACAAATCTTGAAGAGTTCAGATGGGTAACGCCTGTAGTCCATATGAACTATTGTCTAAACTCCTTATATCCCCCTTAATAGCCCCTAGTAGTCCCCTATTATATAAT